CCCTGCTTTGAAAGGATGCTCTGTTTTGGTAAGACTCTCAAACTGTGGGAGATTTCTGTTCAGAAATATGAAAAGAGAGAAAGGAGCCTGAAATAGGACACCAGCTGGAACCCCTGGATCTGGAGGGCTCACCTAGGATATCAAAGGCAGGCAGTACATCAAATTTCACCCCCTCGTTGGGCCGGCGGGACCTGAGGACGAAGCTGAGTGCGCGGGGCCTCTTCCTCCGCTGCTTCTGGACCTCAAACTCCACGTCAAATGTTTCCTCTCTTTGACAGGCTTCCAGCTGCCTCCTAATTTCCCGGATGATCTCTGCTCGGTGCTCAAACTGCTCCCGGAAACTTGTGAAGTTGTCGAGGAAGACCACCAGATCTGCATCAGATCGACCTCTGAGGGTCGTGCCTTTGCCTGAGGAGCCGCCCTAAAACCGATGAGAATGAGAACTCACCCTCATTGAGAAGAGCCTCCCTAAACAAAGTGACAATCGCCTGAGAACAATCACTAGCATTCTTGAGCGCCAGCCGTGTCCTGAGGGCATTTCCAGTCTTAACTCCTCCAATGCCCACCAGGACTCTATGATTTACCTTCTATTGTCATTAGTTCCCACTTTACAGCTGGGGAAACATGCTGAGAGGGATCGTGTATCAGCCCAATGACACAGCTAGGAGGCAGCAGAGATCAATTTAAACCCTGGCTGCCTTGTTCTAGAGTCTGTTTTTTACTCCTTGTTGGTTACTACCTTATATTATTATACACTGCAGACCAGCCCATGCTGGGTGGTTTCCCTGCCTTATTTTACTGAATCTGCACAGTCTATAAGGTTTTGGGGATTATGGACGAGGAGACTGAGGCACAGAGTGGTTAAGTGACTTGTTCAAGGTTTCACAGCCATAGGTGCTATTTGCCTTCAGAACTTATACTCTTAACCAGCTGGTGATACTGCAGAAACTGCGAGTCCCCAGCCTGGCTATTACTTAGCAGATGGTTGATCAGAGCTGAGCCTCAGTTTCCCCATCTCTGAAATGGATGTGGCCTGGGATGGTGGTTCATAAACTTGATCGGACATTCGTTAAAAAAATTACAGATGTAGGACCTCACCCTGGAAGCTATTTTAACAAGCTATGGTTCTACCCTTGGTGTGGATAAATCAAAAACCACCAGCCCCAGACCTGGCCCTTTTGCTCTGTCTCTTTCTCTGGGGAAACTCTTGCCCATTCAGCCACCCTTCCCCAGTCAGGCAGGCCTGGGCTCACCTTCACCACTTTCGACACCCGTACTGCGTGGGGGGCATCTCGGAAACACCTCTCCTTCAGGAAACTGCAGATAATGTCGATGGCTTCTCGGACCTGCCTGCGGAATTGCGTGTCTGGCAGGAGGTAGTCTTCGATGAACTTGTCCAGATTACCGGCTGGGGTCTTTCTGAGATCCATCGTGATGCTCGGGCAGGGACAGGAGAGCCAGTGGCTGCAGAGCTGGCTCCCGGAAACTGCCAGCCTCTCTCTTGGATGCTGCCTGAGTCTGGGCTGCTGTTTGGTTTCGTTTCCTTGCAAGGAAGGTGCTATGCCCAGAGTCTGGGCTCCTGTTTGGTTTCGTTTTCTTGGAAGGAGGGAGGTGTGTCCCTCGTCTTTGCCTCTTAGCAAACCAAACACTCCTTTGATCCCTGAGCTGCGTCTGCCCTTGCAGCTCCTTCCTCCACTCCCAGTTATTTACTCTCCTTTAACCAGCAGCCTAGAACATCCAGCCTTCAGACTTTACTTGGAAAATGTTGCTTTATAACCTTTTAGGACTGCACGCAAGAGAAATCATAATTACAAACCGATTTTTTAGTTTCCTTCTTCGTCTTTTTTTGTTGCTGACAAAATTGTTTTCTAGTCTCTTATGATCTTTACAGCAGCTTGTGCATATTACAAAAAGAAAATACGTCAGAAAAATCAGGAAGCATAAAGACCATCTATGATCCTAAAACCCAAAGGTGACCACTGAAAACGTTTTGGTATAGGTCTTTTCAGATATTTTTCTAGGAAAACACACACACATACACACACTTACAGTTCTCTTTTCTGTTTTTTAAAAATGGCATCATACTATATTTTTTCCTTTTTATTAATAGAATTTATTTCTTACAGCAGTTTTAGGTTTACAGAAAAATTGAGCAGAAAGTACAGAGTCCCATATGCCCCCTCTCCTTCCACCCATAATTTCCCCCATTATTAACCTCGGTATGGTACGTTTTTCACAATGGATGAATTGATATACAGTCATGCGCTGCGTACCCATGTTTTGGTCAACAAGGGACCGCATATACGGTGGTCCCCTAAGATTAGTACCATACGGCCTAGATGTGTCATAGGCTGTACCATCTACGTGTGTGTAAGTACGCTCTATGATGTTCGCACTACGATGAAATCAACTAACGACGAATTTCTCAGATCCTATCCCCGTCGTTATGCGACGCATGAATGCAGACGTGTTATTATTAACTGAGGTTCATAGTTCACATTAGGGATCTCTGTGTTGTGCATTCCATGGGTTTGTCAAATACCTAATGTCCTGTATCCACCATTATGAAATTATGCAAAATAGTTTCACCGCCCTAAAAATTCCTTTGCTCCATCTGTTCATCTCTCTCTGTGTTCAGATCGTTCTTCTTTTCTAATAAATGCATTCAATACTAAAAATATCCCTCAACCACTGCTTTGACTGTGTCTCACACATTTTAATTGGTTGTTTTTACATTTTTGTTTTGTGCAAAATATTTTAAAATTTCTCTTGAGATTTTTTCTTTTTTTTTTTACTTTCCTCATTTTTTAAATTGATGTCATAATAGTGTATAACACTGTGAAATCTTAGTTGTACATTAGTGTTTGTCAGTCACCATATAAATACATCCCTTCACCCCTTGTGCCCACCCTCAAACCCCCTTCCCCCTGGTAACCACCAAACTCTTCTCTCTGTCTGTGTGTTAGTTTATCTACATATGAGTGAACTCATGCAGTGTTAGTCTTTCTCTGTCTGGTTTATTTCGCTTAACATAATACCCTCCAGGTCCATCCATGTTGTTGCAAATGGGATGATTTTGTCTTTTTTTATGGCTGAGTAGTATTCCATTGTATATATATATACCACATTTTCTTGATCCAATCGTCAGTTGAGGGACACTTAGGTTGCTTCCACTTCTTGGCTATAGTGAATAAAGCTGCAATGAACATAGGGGTGCATAAGCCTCTTTGGATTGTTGATTTCAGGTTCTTTGGATAAATACCCAATAGTGGGATAGCTGGATCATAAGGTATTTCTATTTTTAATTTTTTGGGGAATCTACATGCTGTTTTCCATAGTGGCTGCACCAGTTTGCATTCCCACCAGCAGTGAATTAGGGTTCCTGTTTCTCCACAACCTCTCCAACATTTGTTATTTTTTGTCTGGGTGATTATAGCCATTCTAGTGGGTAGAAGGTGATATCTTAGTGTAGTTTTGATTTGTATTTCCCTGATGATTAGTGATGTTGAACCTCTTTTCATATGCCTATTCGCCAGCCATGTATCTTCCTTGGAAAAACATCTGTTCATATCCTCTGCCCATTTTTCGATCGGGTTTGTTTTTTTGTTGTTCAGTTGTGTGAGTTCTTTATATATTATGGAGATTAACCCCTTGTTGGATATACGATTTGCAAATATTTTCTCCCAGCTGATGGGTTGTCTTTTCACTTTGATCCTGGTTTCATTTGCCTTACAGAAGCTCTTTAGTCTGAAGAAGTCCCACTTGTTTATTTTTTCTTTTGTTTCCCTTGTCTGAGTAGACATGGAATTCAAAAAGGTCCCTGTCTGACCAATGTCAAAGGGTGTACTGCCTATGTTTTCTTCCAGGAGTTTTATAGTTTCAGGACTTACCATCAAGTCTTTCATCCATTTTGAGTTAATTTTTGTGTATGTCGAAAGAAAATAGTCTACTTTCATCCTTTTGCATGTGGCTGTCCAGTTTTCCCAGCGCCATTCATTGAAGAGACTTTCCTTTCTCCATTGTATGTACTTAGCTTCTTTGTTGAAGATTAGCTGTCCTTAGATGTATGGTTTTATTTCTGGGCTTTCAATTCTGTTCCATTGATCTGTGTGTCTGTTTTTATACCAGTACCATGCTGTTTTAATTATTATAGCTTTGTAGTTTATTTTGAAGTGAGGGATTGTGATGCCTCCAGCTTTGATCTTTTTTCTCAGGATTGCTTTAGCTTTCTGTGGTCTTTTGTTGCCCCATGTGAGTTTTAGTATTCTTTGTTCTATTTCCATGAAGGATGTCGTTGGGATTCTGATTGGGATTGCATTGAATCTGTAGATTGCTTTAGGTAGTATGGACATTTTAACTATGTTTATTCTTCCAGTCCATGCACATGGGATATCTTTCGTTTCTATACATCATCATCGATTTCTTTCAATAATGTCTTATAGTTTTCATTGTATAGGTCTTTCACCTCCTTGGTTAAATTCATTCCTAGATATTTTATTCTTTTTGTTGTGATTGTAAATGGGATTGTCTTCTTGAGTTCTCTTTCTGTTAGTTCATTATTAGAGCATAGAAATGCAACTGAGTTTTGTAAGTTGATTTTGTACCCTGCAACTTTGCTATAGTTGTTGATTATTTCTAATAGTTTTCCAATGGATTCTTTAGGGTTTTCTATATATAAAATCATGTCACCTGCAAAGAGCAAGAGTTTCACTTCTTCATTGCCTATTTGGATTCCTTTCATTCGTTTTCCTTGCCTAATTGCTCCAGCCAAAACCTCCAGTACTATGTTGAATAAGTGTGGTGAGAGTGGGCACACTTGTCTTGTTCCTGTTCTCAGAGGAATGGCTTTCAGTTTTTCCCCATTGAGTATGATCTTGGCTGTGGGTTTGTCATATATGGCCTTTATTATGTTGAGTTACTTTCCTTCTTTACCCATTTTGTTGAGAGTTTTTATCATAAACGATGTTGGATCTTGTCCAAAGCTTTCTCTGTATCTATTGAGATGATCATATGGTTTTTATTCCTCGTTTTGTTAATGTATGTATATGTATATAATAATGTATATCACATTGATTGATTTGCAGATATTGAACCATCCCTGTGTCCCTGGTATAAATCCCACTTGATTATGGTGTATGATCTTTTTAACGTATTGCTGTATTCGGTTTGCCAATACTTTGTTGAGGATTTTTGCATCTGTGTTCATCAGTGATATTGGCCTGTAACTTTTCTTCTTTGTATTGTCCTTGTCTGTCTTTGGTATCAGGGTAATGTTGGCCACGTAGAATGTGTTAGGACGTGTTCCATCTTCCTCTATTTTTTGGAATAGTTTGAGAAGGATAGGTATCAAATCTTCTTTGAGCGTTTGGTAAAGTTCTCCAGAGAAGCCATCTGGTCCTGGACTTTTATTTTTTGGGAGGTTTTTGATTACTCTTTCAATCTCTTTACTTGTGATTGGTCTATTCAGATTCTCTATTTATTCTTGATTCAGTTTGGGGAAGGTGTAGGAGTCTAAGAATTTATCCATTTCTTCTAGATTAGCCAATTTGTTTGCATATAGTTTTTCATAGTATTCTCTTACAATCCTTTGTATTTCTTGTGAATAATCTGTTGTAATTTCTCCTTTTTCGTTTCTAATTTTATTTATTTGAGCCTTCTCTCTTTTTTTCTTAGTGAGTCTGGCTAAGGGTTTGTCAATTTTGTTTATCTTCTCAATGAATCAGCTCTTTGTTTCATTGATCCTTTCTACTGTTTTTTTGGTTTCAATTTCATTTATTTCTGCTCTAATTTTTATTATTTCTGTCCTTCTGCTGACTTTGGACTTTGTTTTTTCTTCTTTTTCCAATTTTGTTAGGTGTAGTTTAAGATTGCTTCTTTGGGATTTTTCTTGTGTGTTAAGGTGGGCCTGTATTGCTATGAGTTTCCCTCTCAGGATCGCTTTTGCTGCATCCCATATGAGTTGGTATGGTGTATTTTCATTTTTATTTGTCTCTAGATATTGTTTGATTTCTCCTTTATTTTCTTCAACGATCAATTGGTTGTTTAGTAGCATATTGTTTAGTGTCCACATCTTTGTCACTTTCCCAATTTTTTGGTTGTAGTTGATTTGTAGTTTCATAGCATTATGGTTGGAGAAGATGCTTGTTATGATTTCAATCTTCTTAAATTTGTAGAGGCTTGCCTCATTTCCCAACAGATGGTCTATCCTTGAGCATGTTCCATGTGTACTTGAGAAGAATGTGTAATCTTCTGTGTTTGGATAGAATGCTCTCTATATATCTATTAAGTCCATCTCATCTAGTTTTTCATTTAAGTCCACTATTTGCTTATTGACTTTTTGTCTGGATGATCTATTCATTGATGAGAGTGGGGTGTTAAGATCCCCTACTATTATTGTGTTGTTTTAATATCTGCTTTTAGGTTTGTTAATAGTTCCTTTATGTACCTTGGTGCTCCTGTTTTGGGTGCATATATATTTAAAAGTGATATGTCTTCTTGGTGGAGTGTCCCTTTCATCATTATATATTGCCCCTGTTTGTCTCTCATTACCTGTTTTATCTTGTAGTCTACTTTGTCTGATATAAGTATGGCAACACCTGCTTTCTTTTGTTTGCCATCAGCTTGGAGTATTGTCTTCCATCCTTTCACTCTGAGCCTGTGTTTGTGTTTAGAGCTGAGATGTGTTTCCTGGAGGCAGCATATTGT